TAAACAGCAGCAGCTTAACTGACAGATTTATTTACACACCAGAAGATAAGAGGATACCCTCTGGATCTAAAACAACCTCCACCCACCTTATCTGACCTGACACAAGCCAGTGCTGGGCACAGCACAAACTGTGGTGACTATGGAGGCAGTGGTGGTGCATAGCTTCAGGAGGACTTCAAGGGTGAAATATGCTTGCTATTTTTATGTCTCCCTCAGGTTTGTGTTTCTTTGCTGACTCAAAGTCTTGTGGGGCTTTGAAAGCTTGGTACATTAGGGGCAGGAGAATAATTCAGGCAACAGATAATAATAACAGCAAACAAGTTTTCTGCTGTGACCCTGAGATGCTCCTCTCAGGTCAGCCTAGAGGGGTCCCATGAGGACAAAATGTCAGTAAGGTTTATCCCTTGAAAATTTTATTGTTTTATTTGTAAGATGGGTTTAGATTATTTCTTTTTACAGATATTTTTGTTTGATTGACTTTTTGAACTTCCTAGTGAGGGCTATGAACCATTTGCCATCCTCGGTGTAGAGCACCCATTGAGTAGAGACAACATTCTGGCTGGGTGGGGATGGGGTGATTTGGGGTCTTTACAATTCTCGCCGCTAGTAGGAGCAATTCCAGTGACAAACATTGCGTTCTTGGTTTAAAAACAAATAAATAAACAAACCAGTCTTTTCTGGCAGAGGGAAAGAAATGTAATGCTTCAGAACTTCATGATTCTAGAGTAAATGTCAAACAGCTTGTGAACAGATGGGAGGTTCCAGATCAAATCTGCTTACACTGAAAGAAAACTCTCCACAAAACTAATTAAAACAGCTGCATGAAACAGCTGCCAGAATAAGAAAGGGAAAATAGAGAAAATGGGTAGCCATTGCCTCACTGATGGGTTAACTGGGTGTTTGACCTGTTGTTTAATCAAGTATGACAATGAGACTCATTTCTGATGCATGTAGGGCCTCCTTGACTCAATAGGATCAACCTTGGGAGTGGGACAGAAGAAAAAAAATGTATAGTGCTTTCAGGTAAAAGACTTGATATCTAAGCTTACAGATGCCTAAGGAAGTCCTCTGTGCACCAGTCTGACCCTACCTGTACACACACACACACACACACACTGTCACACCAACTTCACTGAGTTTGGGAATCTGCCACCCCTCTGCTTCCCAGTTCATTTCAGCATCCTATCGAGCAAAAGCTGAGGATAGTATTTTCTTCTAGCTTGAGAAATGAAACCAAGATGGAAAGAGGAGTTAAATACCCAGTTCCTAGATGCTAGATGTCAATAGGTGCCCCTTATGCAATGTCCATAAACAATACATACCACAGCACAGCCTGGACATGTATTTCCGTTTTCACAGGACCTCTGCCTTGAATGGATCCCTCCACCACAATTCACACTACATTTATTCCAAGGACCCCATGAAGACCAAAAAATCGGTAACGGACATGGACTGTTCTCATTACAGAATCTGAAAGAAGAAAGTGCATTGCTCAAAAAATATCCATGTCAGCACATCCGAGGGAGAAAATGGTGATGAATGCAAGACTGCACACTGCATTTGGGTGCAATTCATGCATGCGCAGAAAGCCAGCAGAAGGCTGACGTAACAGTCAGATTAGCAATATTCCTGGTCACAGCAGAGAACTGTACCCTTTGTACAGAATGGCGAGCGGTTAACCAGGCTGAGCTCAGTAAGACAGTTGGAGTAAATGGTGAAGATCGGGCTTTTGAAAGCGCTCTAATCTCAAAACTTCTATGCACTGAGTTCACAAAAGGGCTCATAAACTGAAGACCGTGTGTCACAAAGACAGAGAGTAGGTGGTAAGTATTTTCAATGGGATGACTAGTGAGAGGTCAACTCAACAGTGATCTGTCACTAATGGCAGGTGCTAAACACTTGAGAATCTTCTCTTCACACGATCTGGCCCTTACTGCTGCTCTAACCCTAAGAAACTACTGTTTGCAATTGGAGCTGAACTGGATGCTATACACGTCTAAGAGCAGGCCCTAAATTAATGCTGTTTCATGTTCCCTTTTCAAAAGGTAAGTTTAATTTTGTTCAGCTTTTTAATCAATATTGTCTCAAATTGAATCACACAGGACTGCAATTGACTCAGATGTAGTCTCTAAAACCCAAAAAGGACTATTGTGAATGGCCACAAATCAAACCAAACATTAAAATGTCCTGAATCAAGGAAGTTAAATGAATTGCCCTTTATATTTTGAGAATGCAGAGAGATCTGTCTTGAGTGACCACTCAAGGGACAAGCAACAGCCTACTGCCAAGCAGAGGTGGCCTTTAATGAAATGTCAAATCTGGAAACCAAATTGGCATGTGTTTAATGAGGGGTTGGGCTTGAAGAAGCATAATAGTGCAGATGGCTCTGTAGGTTCAAAAAAGTATTGTCTTTTAGCGATTTTGCATGAAATTTGCTTAGTTCAGAGGGGCAAAGAAGATGTTTTCCTGATGCCAAGCCCTGCAAAAACTCAATCCTGAATTTATGTGTTAAGCTATGTTTTGTCTTGAACTTGTTTTGGTGCATCAGCACAATTAATAGAGACTTATGAATGGTGCAATTGGCAATGAAAGCTGCACATACTCAACTGCTTCCTCAGGGATGGATCAGAAGAGAGTAACTCTATATATAAACTCTACACTGCTAACAGCAGGCACAGCTTCTCCTTTCATTGAGGAGGTCAGCCCTCTGTTTGGGGGACAGGAATACTTGTGAAGGTCTGAAAGGTCCTGCCTAAGAGTGGAGGCAACTCTGAAGTCTCTGATGTTCACAGGCTCATTGAAACAGAGTGGCCATGCACATGAGCAACCTCATCCCTCCCAGGCTCTGGAATTGCTTCCGTTTTGCGCATTCAATCCAACAGCCTTAATCTGCATTCACATAAGAGTCACCACTTCCAGCTGCCAACATTATAACCACAGAAGTGAATACATGGCGTTGCGGACATCCCTTACCTTTCTTCCCTGCTCTGTCCAACGCAGACCCTGCCTCCATACCGTGGAGCGGGGTTGCTGCAGGATCGCTGGCGGACCTGAAAGCCTATCCCGCAGGAGGTGCTGCATGGGGCCCAGGAAGACCAGGGTGTCCAAGCGCCATTTCTAACAAAGAGGGTGACAGAGAATGGCGTATGGGGGTGACATAACAGTCTGCCCACATCATGCCATGCTTAACAACAAAACACATAAGGCACTGACAGTGGAATCATTGAACTCATTGGAGAAGAGATGATTCATTTCAACCAGACTTTATATCAGCAGAGATTTAGAAAAGGGAGTTTCAAAAGTGCTTAGCATTGGTCTAACTTTCCTCCCATTGAAGTATCTAAGAATTGGAAAGGAAGAGAGTGAAGCCAGTGCTGACTGATTTTGAAAACGTCTCCTAGGATTTGCTGGGCAAGAGTGTGATTGCTATAACTCTCACTGATTATTCCCCCATCACCTCCCCCATGTCTCACAACTCTACTTTTCTGAGTCAATGGCTGATCCCAAAGTTGTATCTCCTGGACTCTTCTGCACAAAGAGTGCGGGTTTTGAGGCTTGCAAATGCCAGCTGTGCCAAAGGATGTAAAAAACCTAACCTCTGCTAATTCAGTAGGTACTGATGCTTTAAATCTCTTACAGCAATACTGCTGCCAGCCTCCATGGTTTTATCACAAACCTCGTAATATTTGGTGTTTTTCTAAAGCCTTCAGCATTGAATCATATTAAGTGGAAATCTCAATTTTCATTAAAAATAACAATAATTGCTTATAGCTTTCATGGCCGCTTGCAGACATCACTGTACTGTGACCTTAAATCTGTAGAAACCAGAGGCAATTCAGAGCTCAGAAACAGGATGGAGTTTCATGGTTTAATGAGTGATCACATCTCTGTTGAGCAGTGGTAACTTAGCCTGAAGCAGATGTGATGTAAAGTCCCTTAGTTCACACCTCAGCGACAGGGATGTGGGCAAATGCTCTGTGCCTCGCTCCTGCGACAGGCTGAGCACGTGCAGGCAGCTGGCTCTTGCGATGTTGCTGCCATGCGGTGACAACCGCATGCTTACACAGAAGCCAACATTTTCATCTTTAAAATCTTGCATTTATTAAAGCTCACCTTCCTCTGATTTGGCAGCACTACTGAGCCTTGGAGCAGGAGAGGAGGAACTGCATCTCATCTCTTCTGTGCTGCAGGTTTCATTTCATACAGAGTCAGTGGCAGTGCTCTGTCTTACAGAACTGCCTAATCTTGACACTTCACTGCCTTAAGCCAAAAAAACTCATTATTTTTTTCTTTTTTTTTTTTTTTTTTAAATAAAGAAAAGCCTTTCTAAAAAGTCTAGTCAAAAAACAACTCAGGTGCTCTCTGGTTTTTGAAAGCTAAGCTTGAAAACAGATGTTAATTTTCAAAGCATTTACTGAACTAATAACACTGCTGGCAAGAAATTTTTTCTGGCATAGCACCAATCAGGGCAGAGGATGAAAGTTAAAACCCACATTGCCCTTCACACTTTTTGTATTTGTTATCAACTTTTGCATGTTCTTGGCAGCTTTATTTCAGAACCTTGTTAGATGTTTCTCTCCTCCTTCTCCAGTTCTCTCATCCCTCTCCCTCCTTCCCTTCCCCTCTCCCGCCCCAAACAAGGTCAAAGAACAAGAAACTCACTTATACAAAAATCCTTCTATTCCATCTTATTCTGCCATGTTTTAACCCACCTATTACCTCCCTACTCCTTAATCCAAAAGAAAGATTATATGTAAAATCACAAAAAGAGAAAATCAAATGGAAGGTTGCTGTTATTGCAGCAAAAAAGGGAAAGTAGTTTCTACTAAAAATTCCTCAAAAAACTAACAATTCTCAGCATCTATTTGTGTTTCAGGATTTTTAACAGAAATAAAGATATCTTCAATTTTCAGATCTCCAGCTTTCTAACAGAACTCATCTTTAATCACCCTGCTCCCTCTTTGCAAAAAGAAATCTCAATGCCATATGAAGTCAATTAAAGGAAATTTGAGGGCTGAGGCGGATGTAGGGTGACCAGATGTCCCTATTTTTCAAACCATGCTGTTTTCCTATGTCTTAAGATTGAATAATCTATTTTTCATCCCCTTCTTAGAAGCTGTTTCTGCCTCTTTTGCCATCAGAGCAGCGCTGAGAAGCCCATCCCACTGGCATGTTTTCCATTTGCTACTGACATAAAAAGCCTGGGGAAGGCTCCACTCAGCCCACGGTGGCAGCACAGGGGCAGGAATGACTGCACGCCTTTTGGGCAGCACAGCCCACATCTGGAAGGGGAGATGCCAATTAAAATATGAGTATTACTGAATTTTTGGTGCCAAGACCAGCACTGATCTCCAGGGATGAGTCAAGAGACAGCTGTCCTTAATGGAATGAATGTTTATGGAGAAGATAAAGTAGATAAAAATTGTATTGACCCAATATTTACCAAAATATTGGCTGGTCCCACCCTGGTTAAGTAGTGCTTACACTAGTGCATCATCTTTCCTTGAGTCATGACATGATGTAGTCTGAGGGTGATGGGGTAACATGGACACAAACACCGTGGCTATGTTTGGGAAGCCAACCGGTGGACATTTAGCTTCCATATTGCTGAAGCACAAGCTTCAGGCTTCCCTGGAAAGGCAGCACTTCGACACAAGCTGAGCTACATGCGTTGTTTAAATGCTGTCCCCAGCAGGCATGCCTCCTTAGCACTGCTTGCTGCCAGATGATGATCTGTTGCTTTCACCTAGCCAGCGTGCTGCAGACAGTTCACAGACTCGCAGAACAAGGCAAACAAGCCTTGCTCAGAGCTAGGCTAAGCCCTGTCTTTACAAGCGTTGCTCTGAAGGAGCTCTGCTTGCTTTTGGCGATGCAACCTCAGAATCGAAACTCTGAGAAATGATAGGCTTATTGCATTTTTTTAGCTTATTGCTGTTCAGTTGGCTAACCTCTGACCTATGCACCTCCTTCTGATGAGTCACTACTCACTGTATAGCTGAGAGAAACCGAGGCACAGCATAGGGAAGGTTAATGTGTACAGTAATTTGGGGTGCTCATCTTCCAAGGCTGAAGGCCCTTCTCTTGGAGCCCTTGGGCTCCTTCATTTTTCACTGACTTCAAGCTGGACCTCACATACCTCAGTTTGGCTCGGACACAACAACGTGGTCACAGAAACACATGGAAGGAGCTAAGCTATGGACAGGCTTGTTCTTTTCCTAAAAAGCACAAAGATGTTGTACCTTGAGCAATTTGCGACCTCGATCCTGGCCCCTTCACAGCCGCGACCTCCGCAGCGAGGACGAGGGCTGTCACATGAACGTGACCTACACATGCAGGAGCCTGTGCTGTCCCCATCCGAATGCTCACACAGTTGCCATGGGGACCAAGGCCCAAGTCTTCCATTTGTAGTCAGGTTTTTCACCTAATTTTAAAAGAAAAAAGATCATTAATAGCAAGTTTACATTTCTGGAGACAGCCCCACAATAGAATAGCCAAACAAAGCTGCCGGGGGGATTAGGATGCAGCTTAGATGGGAGCTGTCTGTGCTTGCGAGCAGGATTCAAAACAGAGGGTTGTTTTCAGACAATGCCACATCAATATTTACCCTCCAAATTCCACCCCGCATACCTAACATGTGCGCACAGGCACTCGAGCCAACCCAGCCCGCACCACACCAGGCACAAGCATCCATCTGCTACCCCACAAACCCACTGTGCTCCCTCATCCCACTCTGCACAGCTTCAGCCTTTCAAGCAACACAACAGCCGGTGCCGATTGTCCCTACTCCTTTATGTTCCTGCCTCTGCACTGCTTGGGACGGTTCCTGCAGAATATTTTCCGAGTTAGCGTTCGTATAACCATAGTGACCAGCTGAGACCGGGGTCTTGCTGAGTTTGGCCCTGTTCAAATACGCCGTAAGAACTGGCTCCCTTTCTGAACAGAGCTGTAGCCTAAATGGCTAAGCCGGGTGAAGGATAGAAAGTGAAGGAGATAGTGGTGACTAGAATAAATGCTGAGGATCATACAGTGGGGTAAAGTGCAAGAATTCATCTCAAGGCAATTTATAGACCAGACTACGCTGCTGTCTGTTTCCTCTGCCCTTTGCTTCATGCCTGTACAGCCCCGAACAGGCCGGGGCTTGAGCCTCCTGTGCACTGTAATGAAGTAAAAATACAGTAGTGCAGGCAGACCAAAAGCATGAGAAACAGAACTATTTCAGCCCAGGACTGGTGAAGACCTTCCAGAAGACAGGGTGTCAGAGCTTGCTCCCCTGTGCCTTGTTTTGACCAGTGCTGCTAGGTGAGCCCGAAGCCGAGGGCTGGAGGAGCAAGCGGCTAGGGCCCTTGCTGCCAAGGCTGACTTGAGAAGATGAGTGCTGCCCTCCTGCTGGGATCATTCCCAGACCACCACTGCCTTTTTGTGCCCACTCTACTGCTACTGCAAAATCCAGCAACTCCAGGACCATGTCTGGAAAGCTGCCCTAAACACCCCTTCCCTGGTTTCCCCTCTGCTCCTCACTTCAAAAACACGTGGCAGAAAGACATCCACATTGGCCCTGCCTAAGTACAGCTATTTCCTCGCTACAGGGCAGCGCCACGATGCACTCTTCTTCAGTGGCTCCCTCCATCCTCCCCACCCTATGTCCCAAAGTTCAGGGCCTTTCAGGTGGATGGCACGGATGGCAGCTGCCTGCAAGTGGCTCATCCCCACTGCTGTCACCCGTGGGGTGGTGGGATGCTCAGCAGCTTTGGTAAAACTGCTGGCAAAGGCAATGTTGGACTTGGCCTCAGTGCTGCCAGCAATGAAGGGTGAAGAAAGGAAGAGGCTGGAGTCCAGGCAAACAGCCCTGGCCCCAGATCTGAGCCAGCTACCGCTGACAAACCCCCGTGTGCCATGCTTCACTGAGTTCTGCACTCAGCAGGATCAGTCCCCTGGGCTGTCCCGGAGGGGGAATAATTTCTCCTGCTTTACAGACAAGGAAACTGAGGCATGAAGAGGCTGCGAGCCTGCTTGGGAGCCACACAGGGAGCCAGCCACAGCCATGGGAGTAGTGCTTTCAAACACTCATCCTCTGAAACATGCTGCTCTCTGTTTATTCTCCAAGTCTGGCTCTACGTTAAACACTCACAATCCACCTCTGGTGGCCTGTCATCTTCCCCTCTCACCCATCTACAGCAGCATCAAAAATACGCAGCACTGGCATGGAAGTAATTTAGATCTGTTACTGTGCTCATCAGGCTGCAGTCGGGGAGTTTCAAGCATCTGTTGTAAACCTTTGCTTGCAATAGATTATCATGTCGTCGTAAAAAGTTGCTCTGGGCTGCAGGTTAAAAGGCAAGATGCCCACAGAAGAGAACATTGAGTTTTGTTGTTGATGTTGAATTTGTTGTTTTAAACATGCATACAGTCAAAAATCAATACAGTTGGGTTGCTAAAAGTCAGGAGGAAAAAAAAAATCAAAATAACTACTTTGAGATATTTAATACTGGATTTTTATGTCCTTTTTCTTCCTGCCTTACAAAAGTCATAATCCAAGTATTGGATCATTTCTATTCATTTTTGAGCCAGAAAGCCTTGCTGATTCCAGCAGGGAGTTCTGTTCAGAAATCAATGGTATGATACGGCCCGTGGCTTCAATTAAAAAAAAAAAGCTGACAAATAATTATTGGCTCATAAGTGATACTGGGAAGAAACCCAAAAACGAAACAAATAAGCAGCCATAACCAAAATGCTGAGATTTATAAACATGTCACATTGTGAGTGTGGGAAGTTTTTATACTTAAGAAATTACATATGGATTATTATTCCATCTTTAAATTCATAAAAATATCTTCAAAAGAGCAAACTTGGGAAGTGGGATAAAAACCCATACGCATTGATCTTTTTCAGGAATATCTTTACAAAGCAAATCCTCTGTAGGCAACACAATGCCCATTGGACTGAGAGGACATCTTTAAAAACACATGTGATCAAATTCCCTCCTCTCACCTGACAATATTACCAATTCCAGAGTTCTTGTATTTTATAAACTGCCATACTCCCACCAAAGGCATCACCTTTTTGTTTCTTCCTTGTCCCATCTAAAGGCTTAAGTGTAGGGTCTAAAAATTCAGACTGACCATTCTTACTTCCCAATACCAGGACATTTTCAATGTTTATTCTGATACTACAGTTAAGGCTGGAAACATTCCTCGTTCTTTTGATTCATCTATGCTTCCTCTTAGGATTCAGATGTCAACTGCTTATAACTTTGCCAAGCTTTAATCATGGAAACTGGAAGTTTCCACGTGGGCTGTTTGATAGAAGCTGAAAATTCTTGCAAAGTTTCAGTCAAAATATTTCAATCATTTCTAAAATCAAATCTAGGGAAAAAGAATTTTTGTAAGTAGCAACCTTTTCCTTGAAACAAGCCAGTGTTCAGCGCAAGGAACTGAACCTTATGCCCTTGTAACACCTTTTCGCAATTCCCATGAAAAGCCATTAAAATCTGTCTAGGGTATAAAATCCTTGTGAGGTGGGGAGGAAAATTCTCAGTTTTCAGAGACTCATAGATTTTGATCCTGGCACCTGAAGTCTTCTCGGTGCACCGGGCATGCTTCAGTGTGGGCCAGAGCAGGATTGTCCTGGGCACTGCAGCTCTGAGTGGCTGAGTCCACATGAATTGAGAGCAGGGTACAATTCTGCTAGACATCCCAAAAAAGGAGTGGGGAGACTGGCACTGACTAGCAAGAAAATGGGGTAGCATGGAGCAGATGCCAGACGACTGAGATAGGGGTTTGCTGGACACACAGAGTGGGACTGGGATGAAAACCTGCGAGGAAGAGCATCATTTGGCTCAGGCTGAGGAGGACTGTATACTTCACTGGGAATACTCAATTCCTGACTTGCCAACCACCATCAACAGTGACCGCATGAGCTTGACTAACGGAGTTTGTTAGCCAAATCTGAAGTTCCTCTCCTACTGGTGGCTCATGTTGGTATCAGTAAGATATTATAAAGTATGATATGGCTTTTTTAAGTTTTCCTAAATCCAAAAAGCACCTCACTCCCTCTCCCAAGCCTAAGAAGAACCGGTATGCAATCATATATTCAGGACTCCCTGATATGACCCATGCACATACAGGGAAAAGAAGAGCAGCATATGCAATTTGTGTCCTATCATTTCTTAATGTTAAAATGTTTGATATTGCAAACTTAGCAACAAACCTTGAAGACGTCCTGGATATTACCTGGTAATAACATATATTAACCATTGCCCAAGGTAGCACTATACGATTAATCCTCTATCTACAGCCCCCTAATATTAAAGCTAGAAAGTTGAAATTTGTCGTACAATGTAGTGCTGTACAAAGATGTTCAGACTAGCTCTGAACAAGCATGTTTGCACAAGAGCAGCAGTCAAGTTCTGTTAGTGGTGTGGTTGACTCACACAAATCCCTGGCCCCTGTAGGATATAATTCAATAATATGCCAGTTCTAGCTTTAAAAGTTGCTGCATGCCAGTCTCTCAGCTGTGCCAGGACATCTGTTTATGGGCTAGGCTGGAGAAGAACTCACTGACATTATCTGGGTTAGGAAAAGTTTCTTTGGGAGGGGTGCTTTTACACCATTTCACACTGGCCTGTGATCTCACACACAGCTGTACCAGCACAGCTGAGCGCCTGGTGCCCGGCCCAGGAAAGTGGGGTGAGAAAAGCAGGACTTCTTAAGACAGTAACTCATCCAACTAAACAACCAGACAAGCCTTTTTCAGGAGTAAAATTTGGCATTGGGTCACTGCATTCCCCTACCTTTCCAGTGGCCATTTGCACATGCTGTCCTAGACTCTTGCCTCTGTTGACCACAAGTCTTATCCTGCACTGAACACAAGGAAATTCTTGGATATTGCTGATGTAGGTGCTTAAATGAGCCATCCCACTCCATGCCAGTGGCGAATTCATTCCAGCAAGGGGCAGAGGAGAAAGAAAAAGCAAGCACTTGCATGTGGATTTTAAACAGCTTGGCAGCCTGTCAGTCGAAGAGCACAAGGCTGATGTATGCACCAGAATGAAAGCACCTACACGGAAAATAATCTACAATGGAAACGCTAAAACAAATGTAAAACTAGCGCCCCAAGAACAGCCAAAGCTCCTGAATATTCTGTGCTGGGTTTTTATGACCTTGAAACAATGATCTGGAGTAGCCTGTTCCCTAGTGTGCACCACAGCAGACATGTTCAAACTAGAGGATTAACACCTCACACACCTATCAACAGACACAGACATTAAGCAGGACGAGATAACAGCATGGGCAATCAAGAAGCACTGCATCCCAGTTCAACACAGGAGTCTTATAAACAGACAAGCCTCTGAATCCAGCAGTGAAAAACTTAAGCCTGCCAAGCTGAGGATGGATTGAAGTAATGACTAATAGTTCCTGGGAAAATATCTGAGAAGTAAGGAAGATAAGGGGAATAAACATCCCAGCACCTCCAGACAGAAATAGCATACTGAAGATATAACCCATCCAGCCCTCACTCTCTCTCTACTGGACTTAGCAGTATTAACATGCTAATTGACGTTAGATAATAATGATGGACATTAATGAGAATTTCTCCTCCACTCCCCTCCCCCCCAATTTATTTAACAAGACTGGTTTTCCTCCCCAGCCACCTTGCAGGTAAGGTTCAACCAGCATGAATTAAATTTGGCCAGACGGCTGCTGGGGATCACAGCCAGAAACTGGATATTGTCGTCAGAGGAGGGGGGCTGGGAAGGGAGCTGGAGAGCCAACTGAAACCAATTCAAGCAGACACACTTTTTTTTAGCTGCTGCATCTGATGGCGGCCAGGTCAAGGAAAGAAGACCATCTCCTTGCAATATCACATAGATTCAGTCTTTGGTTTGCTAAAGTGAGGTTAGAACCCAACAGTCTCTGTCTCATACTCCCTCCTCTTGGTTACACTCTCCCCTTCCCTTGCATTCCCTAGTACATATTGTAGCTTTTTGTTCCCTCTGCAAACCATCCATGCATGCCCTGTTTGTCTGCTGCTCCCTAGAAGCCTCTTTTTGCCAGTGCAACACTTGTTCACCAGTGTTGTCTGCTGGGCCCAGTTCAGGGACGCAAGAGGAAAATTAAATGAAAGCTGCCTGAGGACCCTGTGCTCAGCTATTCTGATTTCCTCGACTTGCAGGGAAGCCAAGGAAATGGTGCAGACTGTGGAGCAGCCCTGAGAAAGGTCAAGTTTCATCTGGGGCTTATGTGGTTCTCAGCAGTAACCCAACAGCACGATCCAGTCTTTCACTCAAGGCATAGGTGGGCATGAGGAGGACTGAATGCTTTGCTTTGGGATCCCTCTTTTGGAGCAAACAAATACATTTGAGGTCTCTGTGTTCTAAACAAGGGGCTGTGCACAGATGTTAGTTTGTGCCACTGGGCTCTCCACGCTCTACAGTTAGTCCTCATCAGTCTGCCAGGCACTCACTTTCCCTCTCCCTTCTACACATATGCACACTCTCACACACCACTATATATAAAATATTTCCACTCCTTCCACTTACGGGGCACTCAGTAATATTTTGAGTCCACAGGCTCATGTTGGAGCTGTCCTCAATGGTGGTACATCGCTTCTGCTTGTTATCCCAGCCGCAATAGGGGTCTCTGGCTCCTAGGCATTCCCTGCATGTGCATAGAGAAAAGATTAAAGCTCTTTAAGACTGTCTAGCTCTAAAGACACGTATTCAAGTATACTGCTTGTATATGACAGCTGTCAACTGCACCGAGGCTCAGCAGAAGAAACAATTTCTTCTAAGCAGAGGTTTACCTGCTTGGAAGGGGAGAACGGCTGAATAGAAGGGTGATAGGACACAAAGCAAATATCACTCATAGAAGCTGTAGATTAAAAATCAGTTCACTCCTCTCCAA